GCACATGCAGAAATATAGATATTATTATTATTATTAGAGCAGTACTAATAACAAAGCAAACCATAATTCTTAAATTATTGCTCCTTATAACTGATTAATATTACTCACGAATGCACACTGATATCTCAATATTTTATTTGAATATCAGCAAACTTTGATTTTGTACGTATGTGTTGGAAATAATCGATCCATCTTCACTTGGGTCGCGTGCATCGAAATTCAGAACTCGTCAGTTTTCCATCCAAAACTTAACGAAAGGCTTTTATTATTGTATTTGACAGCAGTGAAATAATACGCTCCTCAAGGTTTGAAACGTACAAGAGAAGTGTTTCTGAATTGCGTCAGTTGCAGAAATAACTTACAAGTATGTGTTCAAACATTTACCGATAATCGTACTGATGGTGACGAAACAAGTGTCAGGTACGGGATGATCTTGTTTTTTGATGAACAAAATTGCCATTATTGTAGGTCTCACAGATGGACAGTTTCCTGAGCAAGTTGAAACCACTAAAAGCCTACAAGCTTAAGTCAAGCAGCTAAGTATCACAATCAAATCACGTTGCAACCCGTCGTGAAACAGTAGTCTAGCTCAAAATATATTAACGTGTATCTCACAAACATTTACCATCAGCTTTCATATTTGCCATGAGATACTTCTATACAAGCATGCCACTTGTCTATTTTGCCATATTCTAAATATCTTTGGAGGAAAACCGTCCAGAACAACTCAAACTTATCGATGCTCTGAAGGCCCTAGTTATCTACATGTTCTTCCAAAACCTGCATCTTACCTGAGGATATAACTATTATAGGGGCTATCATAATAATAAATTATTAGAAACACAGATAGCGGAAAAAAGAGGCAAACGTTTTGGCACCAGGTGATGTCGAAATTATTTGTTAGTGATGTGGTCACAGATCATAGCTAAGACGGGAAACTGGTGATATGGGAAACCCATGTGTCAGACTAATAATAAAAGATCCGAAGTGAATACAATTTAATAGTCTGTCAAGTAGCGTTTTCCTCATAATTCTGATGGTACCTGGAGCGATACTATTGGACTTTTTAATCAAAATAACTTTGTTCTCATATTTCAACTTGAAACCAAATATTTGGTCTTCTGTGAGTTAGGATTTGTTTATCACTTTAGATAGGGTGTAAACCAGTCTGTAATTATGTAGGATTATGGTCTAGTTTGTTATTAGTACTACCCTAATAATAGAGTTAATCCTAAAATTGTAGATTTGTCATTATGTGACTACCTAATCTACAAGATCTTACATGAACTTCACATCGTTGTCTACACTGACTCATCGTATCGTTGCAATCAACGATGTGATACTTGATACTTAGGAAGAACACATTTTAGCTAGGGATGGAATAATGTGGAAAGGTATGAGTTACACGACTCCAAGACTGAGCCACGCCATGCCGGCTGAGTGATTTGAATGTTACCGTGTACACGACTGTTGACCTTCTCATCGTGTTAATTGTTGAATATTAATCTTATCAGTAATTATGTATTCGGCCTCAAAGGTCGTGTGGTTAAGAACCGATGCGATAGAACGACCGGAACTTGCAGCTTTCTTACGTTTTTCGAGTGTCCACGAGTCCTTTGATCCGACTCTGATTTGATCGTACGACAATGCGGACGAAATAAACTCGAATATAATAATTTATTTTATTCGTGTTGGCGAATAACGAAGTAATGTCGAATACAAGAATGAATTTCGGATACTTATAATTGACAAAATCGTTATCCCAGACAAACAATAAGAGAAACTATGTGAAGAGGAAGATGGAAGAAGGCGAACACGTCGACTCATTGTACTATTCGCGGCAAGTGTTAATGCAGCTCAAACAAGATAATTCATGGTGTTGAAAAAATGAAGGCATTGGATTAAATAATAAATGGTAGATATACTCATAGGACACATCAGAGTGGAAGTATAAGGGCATGAAAATAGATGTGTGCGCCTAAGATCAGCATTTTCCATGAAAACAATAGAGTTGTCATGTAGGTAGAAATGACTAAATAGTCACATGTTGTCTCAGTTATAAAGGACTTTTCAAAACTTAGGGCAAATCATGTGTACTAGTATTAGACACTACAAGTCTTTGAACGAATTATAGTGTCTTATGTAGTTTTTTTCCCATCAGCTTTGACGGATCAACCCATAGTCTGGTAAAAAATTCAGCAATGTTTCGGTGTTATCACCAGAACCGCGGATGAATAGTTCATAGATTTGACCAGTCACACAACCACTGAAAATATGAAAGCACCGGTAGATCGTTTCATCTTAGAAAGGAACTCAGGAGTGCACATCATTGGCTTTGCGACCAGTAGTCGAGAACAGGATATTCAGTCTCGCGTGTGAAAGCCCAATTATCAGACAGGTCACTGAGCTGTAACCTTGTGGCGCAGAAGTGTAACTTCACTCCATTCATACCTTGTAACATATTAGGCCATAATTCTTACGGGATAATTCAAAACAAACTCCAACGCTCACTTTGTCCGCTCTTTCCATCCGACAGAATGGGATGCGCTACTGTAATGTGTCCACAAAAGACATATATAGGTAGCGTAAGATAACTTAAATGAAACAATCAGTGTAAACCTTGCTCTTCTCCACCGAATGTACGGAAAAACGACAGACAGAAAATCGTTTGCAAATGCTAGTAGTTGTTGTAGTTTATTGTTTATTGGAAAGGCTGTAAAGCAAATATTCAGGATATTATTTTCTCAGCATTCTTAGTCGATTGATCAATGAAATCCGAGTCCCCCATTGAAACGGCTTGAGATGTATCAATAAATTTGTGCATGCAAGTCACAGAACTGAGAATCCCTTGTCCACATCAATGCGTCCGAGAACTTTCTCATCGTGGTTCGGTAAAGAGGTACGCACTGTTTTCCGTCAGAGAAGAATGTGGGAGAGATTGAGGTTACTGGGTACTGGCAAGAAAAAATTTCAATATCGGGAAGCTCGAAATATTTGTGCCTCAACCCTTCGCAAGTCTAGAAGATGGTGCGAGGAAAGGCCTGTTAAGCAATCTAGAGAATACTCTTAACGCTTATACTAGTACACAAATCAAAGCATCGAGAGAATAAGAAGTATTCCAGCATTGTCGTGAGAGATTGTGATCATTAAATAACTCGATGTATTTGATTTTCTAAATAAGCTGGATGTAAGCAAATACATGGGGCCAGATGAAATGCATCTTAGGTTACTAAAGTAATCAGCAAACTTTGATGCGGATCCCTTAAGCACATATTTTAAACTGTCTGCAACCTAGAGTCAAATATCAAAGGACTGGAAGAATGCTATGGTAAGTTTTATCTTCAGAACAGGTAGGAGAAATAAACCTGAGAACTTTCGACCAGCAAGACTAATCAGTGTGGTTGTTAAAATTTTAAAAGGTTATTCGGAATGAGATGTCGAAGTATCCCGACAAAGGCGGATTCTTCCTAAGAGGCTGCACGGTTTTCGAACAAGCTATTTCTGTCTCACAGACTTATTAGTAGCTCACGAGTGTTGGTGCGCTCTTAAGAATCAAAAGCTATATATAGTGGTAGCCTTTGTTGTCTACAACGGGGCTTTCGACAAACTTTGTAGAATTATGGTATACTTCGTTATTAGCACTGCTCTAGTAATAGACCTAATCCTAAAATTGTAAATTCATCATCATATGACTACCTTGTCTATCAAATCTTACGCGGACGTTACATCGTTGTCTGCACTGACTCGTCCTAACGTAAGAATCACCAATATGACGTTACATACTTCTGGAGAACACATTTAGGCTGGAGATAGGATAATATATTTAATATGAATGAAATAGATAATTTACACAAGAATGACCACGCTTGTGATGCTGAACCATGCCATCCGATCGAATTGAACTGAAATAATGTTAACGTGTCCTCTATAGTTAACCTTTACTTCCTGTCACTTGTTGAATATAAATCTTTTTAGTAGTCACATGCTCGGCTTCAAAGGTCGTGTGGTTACAGTCCAAAACCGGATATTATATCAATCAAATAATACCGGATTTGGAGGCAATTTATTAGGGTGGATTAATAACTCTCTAGTTAGGCGTCAACTAAGTGGAGTATTTCAGGGTTCAGTTTTCAGGCCGGTGTTGTTCCTCCTAAAGATGCCACAAGCATTCGGAGTTTGATCACACCTTAACCAGTAACAACTTCTGTAGTGGAAATGTACCAGACTAGTGAAATCAGAAGTCAGAAGCGAAGAGGTTCGAAGATATAATTGATAGGCTATCGATATGTCGAGATGTAACTGATTTAAGCTGGCTAGCGGTTGTAGGAGATGTGAGGCGCAGCGTACACGCTCGTGATGTGGTGTGGATACGTGACCGAGAGCCGTTAACCAGGTGAGACCATCGAAACTAAACGTCGAAGACTTACAGAGCTACTTATTTTGGGGATTTATTTGCCGCTACACTCCCGCATGTAAATGATCTTTCTAGTCTCCTACCATCATCGGTTTTATTATATACTGACGATATCAAGATATGGAGAGCGATAGGAAGTAAAGTTGGTAGTTTAGAAATTCCAACTGATCTCGATAAATGGTAAAAAATTTGGCACTTGCTGATAGATGATTTAAATGCATTCTGGTGTATAACGGCCACCAAGGTACTGATACACGGAGAATAATACTGAGCTACCTGCTGTCCATACAGAAAATTTACTTAAGAGTCATAGTTAGCCAAGACTTAAAATCTACTTCAAGATACCGTGCGGTATCCACCAAAGGTTTTAGGACCATGTGTTTGATACCTAGGGCATCGTCTATGTCGATTCTAAAGCATTTTTAATTTACATTTAGTGTTTGTGAGTACGATCAGTGGCTGTAAAAGATTCCAAGAACCACAGCTAAACTGATTCGTGGAATAGCTAAGCTTCCATATGATGATCGACTGGCCATTATCATATAGAAGAACCAGAGGCAACTTGGTCACAGTTCTTTAATCACTAGCCTAGAACAAAAAACGTGTCAGCTGACTATCGACTTTCCCATCGAATCACCAACAAATCGAAATTAATTACCTCAACACGTGATTGGAGTTCCCCCAGTCCACTTTTTTAAAAGAAATTCAGGGACCACCACAGCCTAGCTTCCTGTCCGTAAACTGGGACTGGAGTCTTTTGCTTCAAGCTTAGCGCTACTCCCGGGCGTTTATCTGGTGACGGTGTTCTTTTTCTTGTATTTGTTGTTTAATTCCTGTATTTAATATACTCTTTGGTATTTGTCTAAATCTCCAGTTTTGAACCATATTGTGGAATAAAGATATGCTCAGGAGAATATAAGGTAGATATTCCTAACGGACTTTAACACTTCAAAGTGTAAAGTAGTCCATCCGCGACATGTCGCAGACTACAGTTACAACTTAAGAAACTCCTCTCTAGTAGTATCCCGAATGGAAAAAGATTTAGGAATCCTGATGCCCCACGATCTGAAGTCTTACGCTAACTGTGACAAAAATACCTTTCGAGCGAACCTTGGACTGGTAACATTGAAGCGCATTTTTGGCCAGTTTGACGGAAGAACTTTCCACATAATCTTCAACAGTTTTATTCGTCCCCATTTAGAGTACGGAAACATAGTATTTCCTCCCTCACTCCAAAAGGATCCTTTTGGAGTGTCCTTATCGATAAGGACACTCTGGAGGGTATCCAACAGCGAGCCAGGAAATCAGTTCGGGGACTCAAATTCAAACCTTATGAAAAGCGCCTCCAATCACTTGAGCTTTACCCATTGGAGTATAGGCGTCTTAGAGGTGACCTTCTGATTGCTTACAGTATCCTTAACACTTCTGGACATCCTCTTAAACACTTACTTAAGCTTAGTCCCAATACAAACCTAAGCGGTAACACCCAGAAATTGGAGATGCAACATAGCAGAACGGACTGTAGACACAACTTCTCTTTAAGAGTTGTCAAATGCTGGAATTCGCTGCCGACTGAACTAGTCCAAGCGACTTCCCAGGAGTCTTTTAAGGGGAAACTTGACCTATTCTTAAGGACTAAGGATAACATCTTATTGTGAGTTACCAATATCTTTTTTCTAATCTGTTATAGTTAATATACCTATGTTCCTGCCTGGAGGTATTGGTGATTCCCTGCTACTAGACACGGAAGCTTCTATTCCGTCCACATCCATTTGAAACTTGGCGAAATTACATATAAATGATATTTTCCGCTGTGGTTAAAGTGTAGCTTTTCGCTTAAATGCTTTCTCAAAGTTAATGCCTTAATGGTTGCCCAAATGTACACCAACCAGTCTTTTTTTTGCCCACATTTACCAATGTCATTTTACCTCCCTCCATAATGTCTTCGACATTTACTTACTGCTGGAAAAGTTTCTTAGCGCTTGACTTTATTATGAAGAGTAATTCGTGTTTAAGAAGTAATTTGCGGGAATTCTAATCATAATCATCAAAAATATCACCATTGTGGTGTCTGTCATACTTTGTGTTTGTGAGAAGTATGATAATTGTTGATGTCTAGAAAATGTGGAACTTAGCTGTGTATCTGGAGTTTGTTTGATGAGAACGTGTACTAAAAATGTTTCTTTTTTTCAACTAGAGATTAATTTAACGTTTTAAGACCAGCTTATTTCTCAGTACATCACATACATATAAAAATGTTGAAGTATATGTAGGCATTCGCTTATTTGAGAAAAGTGTTCATATTAAGATCGAAACAATAGTGTTGAAACTAAATGTTCCTATCTTTATTGGTAGTCCTCATTTTCGTCTAGTAAATTCTGAAGCAATAGCCACCAACTGTTGTGGTGTTGTTGTATTTGGATTTTTATTACAATATGAGGTGTGATGTTCGATAAGAAAATGGGAAGGAAAAAGAATAATACTAGTTTGTTACTTATATCATCATTCTTTCGTTGTTTTTACGTTTGATTTGTCTCATCATGAGAGGAACCTGATATAAATTCTAGTAAGTCCTCTTTCTCACACTGACCAATTCGAACTTTGCTGTTAATGCATCTACGTAAAAAGAATCATAAAAATCCGTTCCTAATTCGTTCAATGAAATCAATTTGTTAAACCATGTCTTATACGAAGTTCCAAGAGAAGTAAAATTGGTGGGCGATCCCAGTCTCATAACCTAATACTGATTATATCTCAATAATGCCTTCAGATTGCCATTCATGAGCTCGGTCACACTCATCTGAAATGTAAATAATTGATTAAAGGAATCTATGATCTTGCATATCTATTCATTATACTTTCCTGCTAAGGATGTTTCTAGGATTTCCGTTTCCTTCTCACTTGAAGGCAGCAAAACTGATGATCCACCCATGTTACTGAATATGCTATTAAAGGATGAATTATTTAAAATGCATATCATTTGTTTAGTGTTATCAGGCAATTAGATGGTTGCTACAAGCTTTTGAAAAGTAGCGTAGTGAAGACAATTGCACACGTAACTTAGCCGACCCATCCACTAGCCCTTAATGTTAGTGTAGAAGTTGATGGCTGAGGCTTTGTCTTCGTTTAATTTGTGTATATAAGTTTATAGAAGTAATAAGCTTACTTTAGGTGCTTCCATCAGTCTCAACTTTTAGTAGGTAAACTTGCTGTACCTAGCCTAACATTTGGCTACATCCAAATCAGCTGAGTCGTATGGATAATCGGGTTTTCGTTTGAGTCCCGCTCTGCTAATGATCAGCAGAATTATTGTGCTTACCACAGGCTTCTCACTTTATAAGGGTAAAGTAGTTTCATCCTGCGAATTACTTTGTTAAACGAAGCAACTAAGTGTTTAGTTGGATAAAAATAATCTATGAGCAGTTGATTTTCTGCGTGTAACACCTGATTAGTGCAAGACTGCACATTTAGTAATAGATTGGTTTCCATTCTTATTGAGTCGATTTACCATCGATATCAACAATGCCAGGACGTATACAGCATGTCTCACTCACTATCCATATGCTTGCCGCAAGCAGTGCCTGCTTCTTGACCAAAGCATTAATGGAAACAATTTTTTGTTGTACGTGGAAAAAGTATGGAGCTAGGAGATTAGTTTCCAAATCCTAAAGTTCTAATGTATAAAAAGTATGTAATGACGGAATCATTAATTCACTGTTAGCATAGATTACTGATGTGCACTTACATACTATATCACTTACAGAAACCCACACGTACTCAGTAGTTAGTCATGATTAATTTTATTGTCTAGACGTTTTAAGCGGTTGAAGAGGGTCTACAAAATAACTTCTTGCCGTCCTACGATTATTGTATGTTTCACTAAGGCCTATAAAGAGGTGGGACTGTTTAAAAAGAATGTTTTCATCTGTTGGAGTGTACGAGATACAATTACAGGGATCCCGTTGGTTCCATCCTTACGTTTTATCAGTATTATTCCCTAAAGATTACTCACTGCGTTTTTGTTTATTATCCATTTAAAAATTTTCTGATTTGAGACAAGATGATTACCTCATTGATCGAGTCAAAAGTCTGACTTAGTTTGAAAATATCCATGCATTACAAAAACAGGAATTGTGATTTTAAAAACTGTTCCTCACTAAGATATTTCCTACTTTTAGGTCTGAGTCTTTTATATATCTCAATAAAGATGCCAAAGAGTAAGTCCATTGAAGCACGTCCAAGAAAACGTAAACAAAGTCAAAGAATGGAGGAACTTACCAATTCAGTTTCTGAGCATCCTAAACGCGAAGTAAATCACATATCACACCTGTCGGATGGCTCACGCCACCCAAAACTCAGAAGCCGTGTTAGCCATGAGCGGTCATTCCTAACAGATTTCCACATTGTAAACAAAGTTCCAAAGTGGCTCATTTTATCTTTCATATATTTGGGGGTCTTGATTTTTTTGATGATGATTGCCTTTCGTCAAGTAATGGTATGGTATCAGGGAAAACAAGTTATTACTCCACTTCATCTACCTAAAGTAATATCGGATGCTTCATCGCATGAACGATCTCATAGTTTGTTTTGGGGAAGTTATCGTCCCGGAATTTATTTTGGTATGAAACATAGAAGCCCCAAATCTCTTTTGTTTGGAGTTATGTGGACAGTCCAAGATCCAGAAAATTTTGTCTACCGCCACTCATGTGATCAATTTGATGGCGTTCTAAGGTAAGATTTTATTGGTAGTGAGTGTTTATATTTACATGCTTTTGACTGTATTAATCATCTATGCTTTTTTAATTCCACTTACCGGATCTTCATATTTCCTAATCATTTAACCTGTTTATGGTATTTCTATAAAAGATTTAGTTTCGTATTTCTGTGAAACACTAGGAATAAGAGTAGGGAATCTGAAATTATCCTCCAACGTCCAGATCTATGTTTAATATGGTTTCAGATGAATGGCAGCCCAACTCATTGCATCATGTCAAAAGTCTCAGAAAGGTGGAATATTTTTCATCACTCCATCTGGCGCTTCAGAAGCACCCAGTCAACAAATTTCGTTGCGAGTATTAGATCGCATAAACCACTTTCGAGAAATTATAAAGCAATAGAGATATGACGTGTATGTTGGTAATTGCACTATTATGTTGGTTTTTGAGCCTTGGGTAAGACTGATATTTTCGATCGGTTATCTAACCGTACGACTTTATTTCATTAACGCCTCATGACAGGGTAACAAAATGATTTTATCCCTCCCATTTTTATCCAACCTACTTGCACTTCAGCTAACAGGGTACATTGTGTTAATAAAGAATCCGCTAATAATTTTCGGCCCAGTTATATCATAGGATTTTTCGGTTTAGCATAAGGCGATACATTTGTTGTTTGATTTTCCACTTCATGAGTCGCATTTTTGACACTAATGAAATATGCAAAATGAAACCACCATTCATTCGTTATGTTCTTACTGTAGAATTCATCTGCAACATTTTATATACCTGATGAAGCTTGCTGCTACTATAGATTAAATCGTTAGTGAAAATATCGTAATACTCCATGCATCTTGTTGTGAATAGTGAATAGATTTTTACATAATTTAAAGGAGAAACATATTCATATGATATGTTGAAGCTGATAAGAAACAAGTGCTTCAGTATCAGAACTTCACCATTAAGCTGATCTGAATTTGTTGTGCTATACTGAATCTATTTCAGGATCACTAGTTGTACGTTCACTTACCAATATGCAGGTTAGTTTGATTGTTTATGAACCACACTTATGTTAGAATGGACATTGTTTGGTTGCTCAAGTGCACTTGTAATAAAGGAGAACACAAGTGGGGACAAACAAATGTATTTGAATACAAAATTACAGAATATCTTGGTAAAATATGAAAACCATTCATTAAATACTTCATTTGCAAATTTCCATCATTTGTCTTTTACATTCTGTATAATTCTTCTGATTCACAATTCCTTTCTAATTCTGTCCCTGTTCTCTTCAAGTCAACCTTCATAGCCTCCTGCTGCCAGGTTTTCCACTTCCGACTGGTGTTACACACTACTTTTGTCGACAAACATAAATGACACACACCATATACTTGTAAATTCATGTTGAATCTAAACATTTGACTGTGTAGTTCAAAGTCAATTTATGAAGTAAAATATTTTTGAGTCATGAACTTTCTGATTTTTGTTGTAAGTATAGATATTCACTCATATTAAACAAAAATATATTTATAGTCGAGTTGCATTTAAGCTTATTAAAAATCTTGTTTAATAGTTAAGGCGCGGTTCATTAGTGATTAATAGACTCCATTTTCAACCAATTGTTTACAGGTTCGAGCTTTCTGCCACTCAGATTTAAATAACTGAGTGTCATCACCAGACCTCACAAAATATGGGGCTCAAACATAGTTCAAAAAATTATACTTGGCTATTGAAGCACATTAAGTAAAATGTATGAGTCTACTGTTTAATACATTTTCCACAACTAAAATGCTGACACTGCCATCTCTTTTGCCACGTTTTTTGTAGCTACAACTGGTTGGAACACGATGGTCGTACTTTTGGAACACAGCAAATAGTGGATATCCATCATATTATCACGATATCTTTTGTAAAACCGTCTTCTGACTTGATGGGCGGTGACTGGACAGTAAGGATTTCGGCAGTTGCGCGGAATCGTGTGAGTTTTTAATGTAATAAACTATTACAAACTCTTCTCTGCGGATTTTTAGTGTCAACGTCTGATAAGCTCCGTTTTCACCATTGAGTTAGTGGATTTGCCTAACAGACCTTACAGAGATTAATTAAAAAAGTTCTTTGTACAAAGGGTTGCTTAAATGTATTGGATTCACTGATGTTCTATTCTATTGAACTTTATCTGTTATAAATAAAGTTACTGGATCTTAATTGTCGACACTAAACTTAAGTTATTCAATAAAGTGTTTTTGCTACTTTATTTGTTAGACTTCTACGGAGTATCCATTGTCGGTAATTGTCTACTTTTATTATCCTGGTGATAAAAATGACTTCTTCATCGAACCAGTCGTTTCGAATAAGAAAATTACTGGATTGCAAGGTTAGTTTATTCATTATTCCTTTTAAAATTATGTGAACCTGAGGTCCTCTTAAGTGAGAGTACTTTCCCGAAATTTCACACTAATCGCAAATTTTTAATAATAAAATATTTGGGATACTACAAACATTCTCCATGATACAGATCGTGTTACGCAAGGTGATGAACAAAGATCAATAGCACAGGCCATAAACATTTTGTGATATAATTGCCACAACTCGACCATAAACTATTGTTTTGGGACTGGTCTGTGCTACTGTTTAGTGTGACGGTGTAAAGTAGTTTAAATCTGTCAAACATCTCACTTATCTTGACAGTTGTTTTTGTTCTTAGTGGTTGGTTACCCAAGAAACATCTGTGGAGATGGAAGTACTATGTCCGCTTAAACTACCTATGGAGATAATCAGATATTTATTTAGGCCTTGTACTATGACGTCATAGTCTCTGCGTTTCACTGCATGGCTGTAAAGTGTAGTCGGCGAGACTCTAATTTAGGGACGAACCAACCAAAAGGCAGTTAATATAAAGTAAAAATATATCATAAGAAAGTAATGAATTACAGTGGATATTCTTCTTTTACATGATTTAAAAACTTGTTAAGGTTTGATAAAGGTTCAGAGGTTCTGAATTCATAATGCATACGGTATAAAAACTCGTTCACAGGGTTAGGGTTTAGGGTTGTAGCCTCTCAGTAAACACCTCTGCTCTAAAATCCGCTGTAAACCGATCGTATGTTAGCATCACGTGTTGAACTTGGCTCCGTGGCCTTGAAATCGCTCAAACACTTTTTGGCTCGTCCCTAAATTAGAATCTCGCCACCCTAACCTAATCCTAACCGTATGGACGAGTTTCTATACCGTATGTATTATGAATTCAGAACCTCTGAGCCTTTATCAAACCTTAACAAGTTTTTAAATCATGTAAAAGAAGAACATCCACTGTAATTCATTACTTTCTTATAATATATTTTCACTTTATACTAACTGTCTTCTGATTGGCCAATAATTGCCAAGGTCATTTAAGATTCGTTCAAAGGTCGCCCCTAAATTGGAGTCTCGCCATGTAATCACCTAAACAAGTGCCAAGTTTTTAAATATTTGACTTCAGGTGACGTCAAAGCCTCCTTCACTACCTGAAAGATAGACAGACATGTTACTGGCATGCAGTGATTATGTATTTCGACATATTATGCTGGCCATGATCAGATAGATCAAGAGATGATTTAAGTCGTAATGTGGTGGTCGGTTTGAGATATTTACGTTGGTATTAGATTAATAACTTGTATTTTTACGATTACTGGCATGATGCTGGTCGACAACAGCGCAAGACGTATGTCGTGGCAAGGTATCACTTCATGAAATCGAACCCAGTGACCTATTAGACTCACTAACAATCCCTAAGTGAGTAGACAATTTGCTACACATCACATTATGTTGCTATGGTTTCTAAAATAAAACCTCTATTCTCACACAAAAATATCTGTTCAAAATAATGTGACTAAATCTATATTGTAATAAATAAGTAAACACTTGTAAGATATATGGTCGTTAGACATTTTACTAGTTTTTACATTTCTTGAGATCAATTGTCTTGTCGTTGTAGTAGCGCAGTATCTTAGCGATTAAGACACTCGTCTTTCAACTACCAGATCGTAGGCTTAAACCTCGCTTCATATACTTCAGTCTAATCAGCCTAACTGTAATCATCTCAAGTACTCAAAAAGCAAAATACTAATACTGTTGGTTGTAAAACCACTGTCTAGTTTAGACATAGTTTTAAATTATGCATAATCAACATATTACTGCTATATAAATACGATGTTTTGAATCTAGTAGGTGTATTCAATCCTTGATTTTTAATTTTACAATTTAGGTAGTTCAATGGAGTTGAGTGATTTTCATGTTTTGTTTCATCCTACTCCTCATAAATTACAGGAGAGTTCTCTCGTGGCTTATATACCTAGAGAAGATACAATTAAAGAGACAATGTTATCTGGTTTAGGAGTTAGAAGAGATAAGAATTTCTTGGCACTAACAGGTGTCACAAAGAATCATAATAAAAATCAACCTCCAAATGCATGGTTTTATGAAATAAGTACAAAACCCAATGAAAATAATCAACCAATTCTGGATGTCGAATTCTTTCGATCACAAAGTCCATTTGAAGGTTTTCATGGGAATAGTTTCTCTGAAGAGTTATCTAAACAGTCTATAAGTTTCCATAAACGTTTTGTTGAAAGATTCAGTGTGGATTTAACGAAGTTTTCTAATAGACAGGTTTGTAGTTTTGAGCAAGTTGATCACATTTTCTAAATTTATTTTTCTATTTTATGCCTTATTGATCTATTTTGGTCAAAATCCATAAAAGTTCTAAGATTAACAAACAAAGGCAGCTTGAAGAAATCGTAGTTTATGCCTAATGTTCAACAATTACAACCAATCTTTGTAGTAATAAATTTACTAAGTCAAATTTGAAGTTTTTGTTCGCTGGAATTTGTGATTATTTTCACTGTAAAAACTAACTAGAAGTGATTTGAAAGGATGTTTAGAATTGGTAGTCATAATGTTTAAGTATTCAGTAACCTGATTATGTTTATATCTACACATCTTGATACTATATCGTTTAAATCCGTTGAACAATATGGATTATGTTTCCAAACGAAAGGTGTCGTGTTTCACGGTACTGAAATTGTAGTGAACGAGAACACCAGTGGGGACAACCGATTGTATTTGAATACAAAATTACAGAACGTCTTAGTAAAATCTGAGATCCATACAGTAAATATTTCATTTTTAAAATGTCAATCAGTCTCAGACTTCATTGTACCTTCGTTTTCACACTAATTCTCTGTTCTCGTTCTCTTTTCTTCGATCTTCTTACCCTGCCGCCAGGCATTTCACATTCGATTGATGATACATATTACTTATATCTGTCGATATCAGTAGCACCACAAAATTATTAATCGGAAACATGGAATACGAAACTTATAGCGGTTAGTTATAAAAGTTCAGTATCGTGATTTCTGTATGAATACCAGAAGGGTCTCTCAAATGTGGACGGGTTCCTACTTAATTGTTGATTATTTCACTGTCGGTGTAATAATTATTTTTCAATTGTTTGTACAGGAGAAAGTGACCTTTCTTGTGACTTTTCAATGGGATGCTTAGCAACTCAGAACATTGAAAGCATGCTAAATCCTCTCGGGAGTTTATGTTTGTTTCATAATTCCCTCATTACAGCTGTAGAAACGATCGGGATTAAGCTAGTGGCATATTAATCCTATGGAAGAAATCTTATTCGTAAAGTGAATAGAACAAGCTAATTAAGTTAGTGCACTAAATTATTTACTTCATATTGTTCAATAAATGGGCTAGTGTAAGCACTGGTTTTGGCGTCTGCACACTTACTGTGAATGATAAACTCATTGATTAGCCAATACTTCAGTGGCTTTGTCTTAACGTCGTTCATTATGTGCTACATAAAATTGTTATTTTCCTAACTTTTATCATAAGATTTTTCATTATAATCATTCCTTACTGCAATATATATATATCGGGATAATCGTTTTGTGTTTCTATTTCTAAATCTGATTAGGTCAACTTATCTAAAATTTCAGTCAGCAATCTACTGGGTGGTATTGGTTTCTTTTACGGCACATCGTTAGTTCGTTCGGCTAATATTGGACCGGAACCAGTATCTAATTGGGCGTCTAGTTTATTTACTGCCACTCCATCTCGTCCCAGCTTTCCGCGTGGATTTTTATGGGATGAAGGATTTCATGGTTTGATATTGGCCCGATGGGATCCAAATCTTGCAATGGAAACAGTCGGTTCATGGCTCGATCTTATGAATGCTAATGGTTGGATTCCACGTGAACAGATTTTAGGTTGGGAGGCCAGGTCAAAGGTTCCATCCGAATTTGTTGTTCAGTCCTCTGATGTTGCCAATCCACCATCCTTGATTTTAACTGTTGAAGTATGTTGTCAAGTTTTTAAACTTTTTAGTAGATTCATGAACATATTTACATTTGTATCACGTCATATTTTATTACGCCTAATATGTATTACTTATAGTTGTGTTATAGTGTAACAAAGTTTCGTTATGCAGCGTTAAATTCACTGTGGTCATAGATGATATGTAATTATTAAGTGAATGTTGTATGATGGATTGTTCAAGCTCTTAATTTTATATGATAAGTCATTTCTTACCAATGGTTATACAAGAGTGTAATGATCATAGTTCATGTGAGAACCTAGAGTTCTACTCTGTTATATTCATTTCTAATGCTACAGCTATCTGAAAAGTACTCGGTAGGAAGTCCTATAACAAACACGGTTGTAAGCTCACTTAATCACTTGAAATATAGTTTTTCCCACTATAATTGTGCTCATTAGATATATTCCTTTGGAAACGTCTTTTTTCATGGAGTCTTCAGTGAGTGTTTTGTGGTGCCAGCTGATCTGACTCCAGTTTGGATGAACGTATGAATATGTTATGAACATAAATCGTTCATTTAACTCCGTATATTACCTAGGCTAACCCCGTTTGTATGACAGCGCTAATGAGAAACCAAATACAAGTGGACTTGGAGGAATTCAGACATTCGTTTATCCAGACAGAGATTCAGAATAAGAGGTAGCAAAAAGAAGAGGAAAGAGCGAAGCGAAAGGGATCGGATAAGGCATGTGAGCCAACTCGGTTTAACCAAGTGTGAATCGATATTTATAGTCGAACAAAAGTAAATTACAGACACATCATGAATAGTGTAGGTAATTGACACATACGCTCATATATATTATTTTTATTTACATACGCTAATATAAAAACAGTCAAGGTTAATAAACGAATAATTGATAAGGTTAAAATGTGACTCAAGAAGAATAAATAGATTGGTCTGTTTGGAAGCTAGAATAACCCATGTGGGCTTGAAATGCGCTGTGCTTGAAGAGATTCCGAGTTTACCTAACCTGAGAACGAAACGAAGACTGTTACACAATGGCAGATAAGCTAGCTATTCCGATGTGTCCCAGCCCCGCTAACTAGAGAGAGAAGTTCAAGTCCGGAAAAGGGAAATGTTATTCCACAAGCAGCCAGAAGCACGAGCAACAACAACAAGCACAAATCAAGCGTAAATATACAGCACAAAAAATGTCCTTGGGAAGCGTTACAAAATAACATACTAAAAGACACAACGAACCAATAGCGTTTAAGATCCTCCCAAGTGGGAAATACAACACGAAGGTAAAAATGGGCACTTTTAGCGCGGAAGCAAGAAATTTGAATTTTAAAAATAGAATTACAAAAACAAAGTATTTATCAAGTGTGTTCTGGGGATCGAACATCCCCAACAAAATGATACTAGACACTACAAGTGTACTGATACGGGACCTAAGGTAGCGCACTCCACATAGGCAACTAATCTCGTATTTGGGCAATTGTTTGAATGAACGGGAAAAATAGTTCTTTGCGCTTAGGTAGAATCCATTTTCTGACAAAGCTTACTGGTACAGTGGTTGGTAATGTAGTCAACATTCATCAGGTAAATCTCACCCCTTGCCTAGCTATTCGTAATTTGAAAGTATTTCATAATTGTCTTACGCCTTCAGTATACCAGTTCCAATCTATTGATCATAATAATGATGTCGTCTGACCAGCAATTTAAATTTTTACTCAGTCTTGTTTGAGGAGGTAGGTGGAATTTAAATAGTCGGAATATGTTTTATAGCTCTCATCCTGTAATATCGGTTAACGGGTGTATGTTTTATAGTCCTTATTGTTTGGCATAACATTCAAAAAGTGACAAGTTGGGGTAGTTTATTTTGAATATGCTCCTAGTCAGTTGGTCAAAACTTTCTAAACAATTTTCTGAGTATTTTATTTATTCATTTTCGTAATTTTGCGTATTTCTCATTGATTTGTTATCAGTCATGAGCATAATTACTAACATTTTTTACAGCAATAGTTCTTAGTATCTTGATAATCGTTGCATGTAATATTTATTATTGGTATGTTTCTAGTTTCTTTCTTATTGAAATTCTTTCAACATTATATATTATTTTGTACTATTCATGGAGGCTTTGTTAGATCGTTTGCTTCGACTAACTGTTGCTGAAGCTAATGAATTTCGTCGTTGGTCTGTGTTAATTCTTCCAAGGCTACATGTTTGGTATCAATGGTTCAATACTACTCAGATTGGTCCTGTCCCTCTGTCATATCGCTGGCGCGGTCGCAATCCAAATGAAATTCATCAGCTGAACCCTCTTACATTAAGTTCTGGTAAATGCTTGAGAGTATCACTTTAATCCTTTTTTAGATAATGGTTAATATTTCTGTAGGAATTTTGCACATGGCCATTATATGTTATTTTTATTTCACTCTAATTCATTAAACATAGTAATCATTGTGATACGCTTAAGGGTACATTAATACTTTGTAAACGGAATTCCGATGTCTAATGGAATTATTGTTGCATGTAATTCATATAAACATCATGGAAAACATGCAGTTTCATTTATATTATTAAGGAAATCACTTTAGAATATATACATCTCTTAAAATATTTTATTCAACGGAGTAATTATTTTCAACTAGTTCATTTTCAAAATGGTACAATAATATATATAACTGTGTGTTTGTTAAAGCTTTATTAGTTGTTACTTGAATTTCGACTGGATATTCATCTCTGCCTACCTAGTGTACTTGTACTGAGTTTATAGATAAAAAGTGGATACAATTTTTATGGCTTAATACGAAATAATTAGGATACTACCAACTTTATGTTTCTTATAATAGTCTAGATCAAATATATTCATTTTTTGCAAACACTTGTAGTATGCCCAGACTTGACAATATTTCTTATCATTTAATAGCATTATATATACCAATTACAAGTACTCAACTTTGAACCTCATTGTTTGTATGAGGTGTTTATAAACTATCACGCGAATGCTTAAACCGTATAAAGTATGTTTAAAAATTGAGAACTATTGGTTGGAAATGCAGTTATCTAGCCATTGAACCCACTGCGCTGCATGTGTATTACTCAAAACATTTTGTGTGATAATGTATCCATTTTCACCAACTGTTATAAAAGTTTTATGATTTTTTTGTTCTGTTATTACTTTGCTCACTACAATATATATATATCATGTTTTGTTTTCTGTCTCAAGGATTAGATGATTTCCCTCGTGCCTCTCATCCAACTGATGATGAACGTCACATTGATTTACGTTGTTGGATGACTTTGTTTGCTCGTGTAATGGCAAGATTGGCTTCTGTTGTTACACAATTTATGCAGGCAGATCAAAATGCAAATGGTCGATCAAAGCTAGAAGAGACTCGTTCATTGATTGCTGAATATACTCGTTGGGCTGATCTACTATCAGATGAGAGTGAACTGGATAGACTTCATTGGTCAGAAAAACAGGGCCGCTATGCTGATTACGGTCTGCACACAGACTTTGTTAGACTAGAGATGCCTGATATACCTAAGGGATCACATGTTTCTGATGAGGTAGTGATTTCATGCGTTGATATTTCCTTTTCATTTATATTTAAAATATTCTGTGCTTATTTTAAGGTACTTTTTATTGTTTTCATAATTCATATCATAATTTTTGGATATCTTGAAAGAAGATATGGATTTTATATTTTTTGGGCTTGTTTGCAAGAATTTGATTTACTATTTAAATAGCGATTGGAATACTATTCTGCACTCTGTAATTAAAAGTTTGACCCCAACAATTTAATTACTGAACTACTAGATGGAATCCAACATTATCTACCGAAGTTTTAACTTCGAACGATAAGTGTAGCTCTTATCCTAGTACAAAAAACATGTTCAAAGCTAATTGAACTATTTTGGTTTGGGTAGTTAAGGGATTCTATTATTTTTTTCAATTCACTAATCTTTAATTTTATACGGCGATATTATAGTTAGTATTACTGTCAGGTACGGAGACTCACTTATGATAGATCAATGAGATCTGGTGCTGTAATGTCGTGAGCTCATATTATTATTATATGATTACTTCAACAGGAAGGGAGTCACTCAATCAAAATAATTATTGTGATTAAAGCATTAGATATTATATATTTTGTAATTATTTCTTTAATTTCACATTGACTTTTTACCATAGCAGATGAGATTGGTACGAGTAACTGTGAAAACCCCATCACTGCAGTTAGTGGACACCTCGTTTGGATATGTAAATTTATTCCCATTTCTTTTGAAAGTTCTTTCTCCTACATCACCACGACTTCCTCGTTTGTTAGCTGACCTGAGTAATAAGGAATTGCTGTGGTCTGAGTTCGGCTTGCGTTCAATCAATCTTAAGTCTCCTTTTTATCATACACACAATACCAAAGATGACCCACCCTACTGGCGAGGTGCTATATGGATAAATATAAATTATTTGGCCGTACAGTCACTACGTTATTATTCTCACCATTCACGTACACCTGTACCTGTCGCTGCAGAAGCTAAACGGTTGGCTGAACAACTGACGCAAAATTTAGCACGTACCGTATTAGGTGGACTTGAACGAACAGGTCATTTATGGGAACAGTATAACGATCAGACTGGAAATGGTCAACGTGGTCATCCGTTTTCAGGATGGACAAGTTTAATTAGTTTAATAATTAGTGATAGTTCTTAACTTGTTTGTACATTGTTTTTATCATTTATATGCCGTGACTTAATGTTGTATATCCTTTTCTTTTTTACGTATTTTGTCTTTATGTTGTTATATTTTTGATCTGATGAATAAATTTTGGTGGAATAATAGGAAGTATCTGAATGGATACTAAGTAATTCTTCAAGTAGAATAATTATTTTGGTCTTCGAGTCTGTAATAAGGCTTGAAACGTACGGTGTTAATAAACCAAAAATTCATGAGAAGACCGTTATGAACCGGCTTCAAGCAATTATCTTTTGGCCTCTGGATTTATTCTTCCAGGTCATCAGGAGCACTTCTACTCGTAAAAAGTGATAGTAACCCCTAAGGAGAGAGGGAATGTCTAATTAAAAGACACAGGCGAATTTTTCGATATTTCAACCCAGAGAACAGATAATGGTTACTGTTTGTTCTGATAATGTTCAGACCACTGTTCATTCATAGCACGTATCAACATTGATTATAAGAAGAGACTTACATAACCTAGCGGCCCTCAACCTCGACACAACTATGGATAGAAATAAGGTTATATAACCATCAGTCATTGTCGTTGTTATGATATCCAAACACCTGTAAGCACTAAAATGATATCTGTCATCAACTTGAGTCAAAAGGTTAGGAAGGACCATTAAATTCCTGAAGTTCTTATCAAATTCTTAACTGCTTTAAAATTCATCCTGTTATACTCGAAAAAAGACAGATTGACGACAACTCAAACATAGGCTAATAAAAACATTATGAAATGATCATGATCAATGGTGGACAATAAAAGCAAAATAGACGGGAAATAAAGGCAATAGGCAGCACTAGATATCTGTCCCGACACGTCACAGATAGATGCATTAGAAAGCCGGTTGTCAGCTGATGTATTTCTGAAAAAAACGGAAATATTATTTATTAGGTTTAGTAAATTAAACAAATGGACAGCATAGTGGGCAACAATTCAGCTGACCTTCAGTAACTCACCTCTTCCCAACAGCCTGATTAAGAAATCGCTACAATTCTTCCAACTCTTTAAAGGATGGATATGGTCATATCTATCTTGAAGCAAGGGAAATCAGCAGGACCTGATAGATTAACTTGAAAGTTATTTAGTCATGGTGGTCCAGTATTAGCTGCTAGAGTTTAGGAGCTTGGGGTAGTCCCGTCTGACCGGCCATGTTCACTAACTGTCAGTTTAGAAATGACAAATCTTTCTGCAAAGGAATTACTTTGTTTTGTATAGTCCCAACATGTCAGCCTCAATTATCGCTCTATCATTATTTAGATCTCGAAAATAACAAACTAGGAAAACCTGGATTGAATTCAAACTGGAATCCGGATGTATCAGTCAAATATTCATACTTCCAGGTCCCAGCATACCCAAGTCACGTTCACCTGTGGTTATGTATTCTAACTTAAGGTTCTTTACTAAGAACCTTTTGGTTAAATCAGCGCTTAGGGCGAACTGTAATCTGGATTGACAATCTCAATTTGTCTCCTTCAAGATTGTATATACTATTACTCTTCGTATCTTATTTCGTTATAAATTACCTCTTGCCCCAGAAATCATAAATTTCAGAGGTCGTTATTTTATCAGGTTCACTTAATGACAGTCCTATTTGTGGAAGATACACTATCCAATCTTTTGAACTCGAGTGACAGTAGAATCATGTTTAGCATTTGTTTCCATCCAAAAGCAGAATGCTGCTTCAGTACTGGTCTGGATCAGTCCTTACACTAATGATAGAGTGAAGCGGCTGGGCGCACGCCAGTTCGATTCAGTCTCATTAACCATCGTTTTTGGTGGCTGACACGGATTCTTATATCTCTCTTGGTTTCTGTCAGTGTGCTCACTCGTCCCGTAGAAAAGATACCTGTCTTCCAATCAAGTTATGAGTACATTATACATCAACGCGCTCTATATCACTGTATGGTTGTGAAACATGGCCTACGAAAGTAGACGATACTCTTGGGTTACTGGTATTTGACTGTAGATATCTTTGAAGTATTACTCAGATGTGACAAGTTCACTAAGTAAGCTGTGATGATATTTGACATGAAGTAATTATTCATCGATTAAGGTGACTTGGACATGTATTACTTATGCCCAATCAACACATCCCTCGATGCGCATTGCTGGGTAATGTGGGAGTAGTTAGGGGTAATAATTCATGATTATCTGACTTAAATGTGTTGGAAAATACAAACTAATTTGTTGAGACCCACAAGACAGTCCTAGTTATTGGTCAGGCGTGGGTGATGACTCAGTCCGTTGTATTAGTTCAAATACATTCTCTATATATAATTTCTTTCTAGACTATACTCTTCACTGTCTGATTTATGCGACTATCATCAGTTATACTACTAGCTCTACTACCATGCCGTTCATTCTATTGATTCCATCTCGTGTTCATTCGGTATAGCGTTCTAAGCTAACAGATGTTTTCAGTATAGGGTTGTGGATATTGTTAAGATTTGATTGAGATCATGAATGGATGGATTTTAGACCACCATTAAAAACCTGGGAGCACTGGATGGACGTTTCATCCTAGTATGAGATTCCTAAGCAGTGCGCATCCACACCATTGGATACCGGTTCAGTAGTCTGGAAGTTAAGCGTTCGTGTCCTGGGTGCACACTGCTGATAGGTCCTATACTAGGACGGTACGGCTGTCCAGTGCTTCTAGGTTTTCAGTGGTGGTCTAACATTAATCTATTCATGATCTCAATCATAAGAGACATTTGTGGCAAGCCGTATGTTAACAAGGACTGATTGACTTTGAAATGTAAAACGAATGAGTAGTTTGACAGAAGATGATATTGTTTAATGCCTTCGAATGTATGTTTACTGTGGTCGTTTAGTTGACTGATAAAAAGATAGGGACTAGTGTGTCGAACGTGCAATTTGTTAGCCAAATGAGGCCTTAAAGTTAACATCGAGATAACTGCTGATCACGACAATACATTAGACTATAGCAGCTCACGTGCAATTTGAGTTTGTTCACATTTAATTTGGTTAAGCCCTTTTGTTAACTGATTTAACGGACACAGTCATTCGTACAGTAACAACTTATCTATACTATTGTATCTTTGCCATTGTTGCACTTGTATAAATATGTGTGCTTGAGCATTGCTTACTGCATACTCATATATTCATCCTGCTAGCCTTACTATCAGTCAATTTGATTCGATGATTCATTCATTTCACAATGTACATTTTAATCCTGTTCATTCGATTCGCTTGCTTTTCGACACTACTCTTTCATGCTTGCTTAGCGTACCTGTAATTCTGGTGATCTGTGCGTGGTGTCATAATAAACTTAATCAACACTTCTTATTCGCCTTCTGATTAATACATCGTTGGGGGGTGATCCAGTAACGGTTGTCAGGACGAACTGTTTACGAAGTTTAAGGATTATTTTGAATACCGACCACCATAAGGTAACGAAAATGCAAGTCTGAAACTGATTTAGCAAATCTGCTCGAGCTATACAAGATGACTACAATGATCTTTTGCTGGTGTCGGGAAAGTTGTTGAAATGGATGAAGTTGTTACATCTAGATAAAAGTATAACGAAAGAAGAGAAAGGTAAGTTTTGTGAGTGTATCGTTTGTTTCTAACTGCACTTACAAAACTATGTATAGATTCCCAAGCAAGGATGCTATGCGGTCATATGGATGAACACCTTTATTATATGTTTTTCAACTTCAAGCTAAAAGAACTAATAGACAAACTAAGAAATTTGATTGATCATTTAGAAACAATATAAACTTTCTTAACACTCACTTGTATTATAAACCACCCATTCAATTATTTGCATACCAGTGAGTTCGTGCAATCCCATAAAAAATGAAGTTTCAAATAAATTAATGTAATGACAACAATCCTCACACCAGAAATATAGTTTTACGCAGATATGAAATAATAGTATTCATTCAGAAATTATGAGATATTTATAGACTAAGACTTAAGCATGGTGATTTGTAGGAATTCAAGTAACTGTTTGACCCTTGACATATTCGGTTAATAACATAATTTACAGAGGTTTTATATATAGATTCACTTGTAATTTATAGTTCTTGTTACTCTATTTAAACGTCATTGGATTGGGATCCATGAAACAAGCTTAGTTAGGTAATAAATAAATTCTTAGTGTATGATGTAATGTAATTATCCAAGATGTTTTGGTTAATCAGGAGCATATTCATTTAGGAAAATTACTATCTATATGATCTCATTCTGACTGTCTGATGAACCATCACATAGGACATAGTAGATGAACACTACTTTAACTCGCTACTACACTGCATTCATCGGTAAAACCGGTATATCTTGAAGCGGCTTAAATTTTATTGTTATATCTGTCTAAGACAATTGTTTCAAACTGTTGGGGTGATCCAGAAAACCCGCAAAAGACAAGAAAGGGTCAGGAAAACACTAAGAAGCATTTTGTCCAATCAGCGTTAGTTTAGCCAGAAACATCTAGAAAGTGGAAAGTCACATGTAGCGCTTCTGGTTGGTTGATTACTGTACTGCTACCATATTTAGTAACATTTCAGAATTTTCGGGAAACCCAAGGACATCTAAAATACAACAAAAACTTTATATTTTCTGTACTAAAACGGAACTTTGGAGTAAAGTGCTGTGGCGTATTTTATGCCTTTCCTCTCATGTTCAGGTCGCTGTGTAGTTCTAGCTTGGGGTTACGAGAATAGCTCAGGAACAGAATATAGCGTTCAGTTGGCAAGACTTATCACAAACCATTAGTGCTTCAGAAAGATTAATTACTACATTTAATTTGATAGGATTTTCATGTTTCTTACACGAATGCATCCTGTGAACAGGCCACCAGTAGGAAAGTTAACAAGCATCTTTTTCGAATGCTGTCTATATACTTTCAATGCTTCTGTGCTCGCTTGTTTCAATATTGATAAGAAATTTACACGCGATAACTAAAACAAAAATGGTAATGACAGAAAAGTTGAGTCAAATGAATTTGTAAGCCTTTCAGCCATTCATTGTGATTTTGTATGCTT